ACGCCCCCGGGGCCCCCCCCCCCGCCGAGCCCAGCCCCGGGCTCACCTGCGCGCAACGTCCCCCTGTGCGGGCTAGTAGCCGCGGCAATTACCGTTTGGCCGGGCAGTTCCGGTTGGTGTCCTCCCTCACGTGCTCCCCGCGGCTCCGGCGCGTTGGAGGCGCAGGCGCGGTTGTGCTGCCCGGCCGGAAGGGTCGGGCGGTGACACCGGGAGGCGGGCTCGGAACGCGGGCCTCGGTTGGCCTCCATGCGGTAGCTGCGTGGCTGGGGATCGGATCGCTGGGGCAGGGTGGAACTGGTGCCGGGATTAAAGCCGCGTCGGGTGGCGATGGGAGAGGGTAACTGGTACCAGGATAAACCCCCTCCCCCCGTAGAGAAGGTAGTAATATGGCCTGGGATGGGACTCGTTTAACCCTGTTTTGGGCAGCGCTTGTTCATGTTTAGGAGCTTTGCCTGTAACGGGACAGGAGAGCGCTAGAAACGCCTGAGCAGCAGCTGAGAGGGTGGGTGTGCTGTGAGAGGACAGCGTTTGGAACTGCTCAGTCTCCCCATGTGTGGTGTATGAGACGACGTTTCTCTCTAACCCAGCAGAAAAGCTTCCCTTATTGAGTTGCTCTCTTATTAACCTTCACAATGAGGGAGGAGGACTGGGCAGGGTGGGCGGGTGTCTCTTTTTTCCCCACCCACTGTGTAATTTGTTTAAAACACAGTAACTTTATAAAATACAGATAACTGAAATAACCATGCTCAGTTTTAAGTATGATGTGTAATACACTCTATAATGGGTTTGGCCACAGTATCCTCCTGAGACTGTCACCTGATGTGCTGTTCCTACAACTGAGCTTGCCTGTCCAAGTGAGCCAGAGCCTCTGGTTTCCCTTGGTGAAGTCAAAAGTTGGGCTCACAGTCCACAGCAGAGCACACAGACACTGATATTCACTCATCTTGGGGAAGACTCAAGTCAAAGGAGCTCAATACAACACTCAGGTGCATAGCCCTTATGGGACCAAAACCCCAGAAAATCCATCTCACTGTGCATAGTGTTTGTATAACAGAGTGAAACCCCTTTATCAGTGAAAGAGATATGCACAACTGCTCTCCCACCCTCCTTACATCTACACAGGGTTTAATAGTAACAGTGATGTTATTAAGTATAACAGGTAGAATTTAGGTGGTTGTAAGTAATAACAGACGGATCAAAGCAACTTATACACAAAATAAAACATGGCACCTAAGCTTAATACTGTTAAACTTGTTATGCAATTTCTTACCCTAACAGTAGTTCTAATGACCTCTTCTCACAAGCTAGGCAGCCTCCCACCTTACAGATCTTTCCCCATGTGCAGTCTTACTAGTTTCTAGCAAAAAAAAAAAAAAAACCCAACAACTGGTCTAGTAGCACTTTATAGACTAGGAAAACATGTAGATGATGTCACTATCTACATGTTTTGTTAGTCTATTAAGTGCTACCAGACCATTTGTTGGTTTTTTTCTATAACAGACTAACTTGGCAACCCCGGATGTTCCTAGCAGTCATCTTAGTGGTAACCAGGAGTCTCCTCGCATCTAGCACCTGTCCCTGTTGTTTAGTTCCATGCTTTTATATATATATGCTGCCCAAGGCAGGAATATTTTGTGTTCAGTTCAGACTTTTTCACCTTGAGTGTAAAAGTACAGTGTCCAAAATGGTTTCCAGCCTGGTTACATGTCTTTGTAGGACCAACCATAGTCCAGGCTCACAGGACAAGCAAGACTATTCACAGCTCATTGGTTCAAATACTGGGCTATTAAGTTCCATAAGCACCACTAATGACACTGAGCAGATCTAGTTCAGTAAAGAGATATATGCTTCATATTTCTACATTTATTTTTACATCAGAAGCAGGAAGCATGCTTAACAACCAGTGGGGCCACTGGACAATTGAGATGCTAAAAGAGCAAGCAAGGATGATAAAATCATTGTGGAGAAACTATGAATTCTTTAAAAGCGACGAGGAGTCCTGGGGCACCTTATAGACTAACTGAAGTGTAGGAGCATAAGCTTTCGTGGGCAAAGACCCACTTCGTCAGATGCATGAGTGGGTCTTTGCCCACGAAAGCTTATGCTCCTACACTTCAGTTAGTCTATAAGGTGCCCCAGGACTCCTCGTCGCTTTTAAAGAATTCATAGTTTCTCCACAATGATTTTATCATCCTTGCTTGCTCTTTTAGCATCTCAATTGTCCAGTGGCCCCACTGGTTGTTAAGCATGCTTCCTGCTTCTGATGTAAAAATAAATGTAGAAATATGAAGCATATATCTCTTTACTGAACTAGATCTGCTCAGTGTCATTAGTGGTGCTTATGGAACTTAATAGCCCTTTGAATCAATCTTCAAGGCTGAGGATGTGAGGGAAATGCTCAAATCTGAGCCATTCTTTTTAGTTGACAAATCTGAGGAACTGTCCCAGATTCAGGTGTCATTAGAGGAAATTTTGGAACAAATTGATAAACAATAAGAAGTCACCAGGACCACGATATTCACCCAGAATTCTGAAAGAACTCAAATGTGAAATTATGGAATTACTAACTGTGCTTTGTAACCTGTTCTTTAAATCATTTTCTGTACCAAGTGACTGGAAGATAGCTAATGTGCTGCCAATTTTTAAAAGGGGCTCTAGAGGTGATCCTGGCAATTACAGAATAGTAAGTCTAACTTCAGTACCGGGCAAAGTGGTTGAAACTATAGTCAAAAACAGAATTGCAAGACACATACATTAACATAATTTGTTGGGGAAAAGTCAATATGGTTTCAGTAAAGGGAAATCGTGCCTCACCAATCTACTAGAATTCTTTAAGGGAGTCAATAAGCATGTGGACAAGGGGAATTCCAGTGGATATAGCGTACGTAGATTTTCAGAAAGCCTTTGACAAGGTTCTCACCAAAAGTTCTTAAAAGTAAATTGTTATGGGACAAGAGAGAAGGTCCTCTCATTAATTGATAACTGGTTAAAAGATAGGAAACAAAGGGAAATAAACGGTCAGTTTTCAGAATGGAAAAGAGGTAACTATTGGTGTCCCCCAGGGCTCTATACTAGGATCAATCCTATTCAACATATAAATTATCTGGACAAAAGGGGTAAACAGTGAGATAGCAAAATTTGCAGATGATACTAAACTGCTCAAGATAGTTAAGTCCAAAGCAGACAGTGAAGAGCTTCAAAAGGATCTCACAAAACTAGGTGATTGGCCAACAAAATGACAGATGAAATTTAATGTTGATGAATGCAAGGTAATGCATATCGGAAAACATAATCCCAATAAGTACACAATAATGGGCACTAAATTAGCTATTACCACTAAAGAGAGACATCTTGGAGTCACTGTTCTCTGAAAACATCCGCTCAATGTACAGCAGCAGTCAAAAAAAGCAAACACAATGTTACAAATCAAACAGCAAGGGTGGGCAAGATACAACCAAATGGGCCGGATGCAGCATGTCAAGCCTTTTAATCCATCCCACCCTGCTGGGACCCCAAGGAAGGCTTTCTGCCTGCTGCAACCCCAGGCTGCTTAAAATGCCTGTCAGCTTTTAGGTGCTGAATGCCCCTGGTAGAGGAGGGAGACTTCACGCACTGCCCCCGCCCCCAGCTCAATCGCTCCCTCCATAGTAAAGTGTGGCGCTTGACCATTTACCAAAATCTTGGAGTGGCCCCCCCCATCAAAAATTATTGCCCACCCCAAGATAGAGATATCTTAATGCCTATATATAAATCCATCGTACACCCACATCTTGAATATTATATGCAGATGGGGTCGCCTCATCTCCAAAAAAAGATACTTTGGCATTGGAAAGAGTTCAGAAAAGGGCAACAAAAATTATTAGGGGTATGCAATGGCTACCATATGAGGAGAGATTAATAAAACTGAGACTTTTCAGCTTGAAAAAGAGACAAGGGGATATGATAGAGGTCTATAAATTCATGACTGGTGAGAAAAATGTGAATAAAGAAGAGTTATTTATTCCTAACCATAACACAAGAACTAGGGGTCACCACAAGGTCACAGATTTAAAGCAAACAAAAGGAAGTACTTCTTCATGCAATGCACAACTTATGGAACTTCTTGCCAGATGGTGTTGTGAAAACCAAGACTATAACAGGGTTCAAAAAAGAGCTAGATAAATTCATGGAGGATAGGTCCATCAGTGGCTATTATCCAGGATGGGCAGGAATGTTGTCCCTAGCCTCTGTTTGTCAGAGGCTGGATATGGCAGGAATGGATCATTTGATGATTATATGTTCTGTTCATTCCTTCTGAGACACCTGGTTTTGGCCACTGTTGGAAGAGGGATACAGACTAGATCAGGGCTACTCAACACGCAGGCCACATGCAGCCCACGGCCCATTTGTTTGTGGCCCACAGTGGGGTTTAGGTTTATGCAGAGTCAACACGTGGCTCCCACGTGGGATCCTTTAAACATGGTCTCCACTGGAAACACGCTCCACAATGGCAAATCAATATAATGGTCTTCTGTTGAGATGTGTTTTAGTAGTTAAATTCCTGGACTGTCATTGCTCATTAAAAGTGCTGTCATATATGGGTGGAAATCAGGTAAATATTGCATTTTATTAATATCAGCAGAAGTTACTTATATGGGGCTTGTGTGTTGCGTAGTCTTGCCTTAATCTTTGTATTCATGCCCATCAATTTGAAAGAAGAAATGTACACATATATTTGCATATATATTTGCATGTATATGCAACCACATATAAGTTGCGGCCCTCGGCATGTACTGTGAGTATCACTGTGGCCCCTAGAGCTTCCACAGTTGAGTAGCCCTGGGCTAAATGGACATTTGGTGTGATCCAGTACAGCAGTTCCTATGCTCTAGTTTCAAGTATAGGAATGACACATATAGCAGATTACTGTATATCTTTTTAAATGATATGTTACATGCAATATTTTTCATAAAGCACATTCAAGTTAGACATATTCATATTCCTAAGCATATTTCCATAAATAATATTAAATATTCTGTCACAGCCTCATTTTAAATTGTGAACTAAACAGTGATCATTTTACTGTAATTTTTAAGTATAGAACAGTCTTGAAACTACAGCAGCCTGTATTATAGTCACCCTTTGTTGAGCGTCTTAGGCT